AAAAAAAAAAAAAAAAAAAAAAAAAAAAAAAAAAAGAGGATTTGTAAAGGACATTCCCTTTGATTTAGAAGAAGCACCCATTAACATGTCCTCTAATGAGACATTTCATAGGCAGAAATTTTATTAAAATGGGCTTTAAGATGTCTACACCCTCTGCAATAATAAACTTGTACTAGCCTTTGTCCCAGGGACGAGCCCAGCCTCACCCACACAGCTGAGTCTGTGGGTGGCCTAAAACGCAAGTGTAATGTGTGATCTTATAAAGCAAAAGGCAAAGGCAGAAACTTTAGGAAAAAATGTTCCATCATATCTGTTTTCCCCTGAGAGCATATACACCTCAGAGTACAAGATCTGAGGCTGAGGCAGGTGGATCACTGAGGTCAGAAGTTTGAGACCAGCCTGACCAACATGGGGAAACCCTGTTTCAACTAAAAATACAGAATTTAGCCCAATATGGTGGTGGCTGCCTGTAATCACAGTTACTCAGGAGGCTGAGGCAGGAGAATCACTTGAACCCAGAAAGCGGAGGTTGCAGTAAGCTGAGATCATGCCACTGCACTCTAACTTGGGTAACAAGAATGAAACTCCATCTCAAAAAAAAGAAAAAGTTTAAAAATAAATGATGGCTCAGAGAACATTGGTAAAATATTTGGTTAATACTAAAAACTAGGAAGTATTACAATTTCAATGTATTCATCTAGCAGAACAAATTTATGCTAGGATTTAGAATAAAGACACAAAAACAAATGAACACAAAATTGGACAAGAAATCTGATATAGAAACACATTCGACGAAAGAAGAGCACAGTCCAATGTATTTCTAGATTTCTGTGAAAGTGCTTTTTTAGTTTATTGCCTTCACCCAATGTATACATTTTTGGACAAGAAACTAGGTAAAAAATCTATAGGCTGATATACATTGCAGTATTTTTTGGTATATGAATTTCCCCACCTGGCCAACGTTTATAATAATTTATAATTCCGGTCTTTTCTAGACTACACAATCTCACCAGCGTCCCCAGACACTCAGTGCAAACATAACCTGATTTTTTCCAACACTTTTACTAAAAATAAAAAGACCACACACTGAGCATCTCTCAGTATCCTCAGAATCATCCGAACAGGCAGTTTCCTTTAAATTCGTTCCATTCAAAGCCTTCAGAAAATTAGCCTTTCTCCATAGACGACCACGAAACACTGGAGCCAGAAGAGATGTGCAGCTTCTAATCTCTGGCTTGGGAATATATTATTATTATTTTAAATTTTAGCTGCAAAGCCTCCCTCCTGATAGATACAAATGGTGACACCTTGAATGAAGGACAGGGGACAGAAGCAGGGTGGGGTATCCTGTAGTCTCAGCCCCCATTCAGCTAGAACACAGAGTCACCAAAGTGTCTGTATCTGTGGACGAGGACAATGAAACCATTCTACAACCATTTTCATGTTCCTAGTAGGGGTGTGTCAGGAGCTGATTGAGTCCACTCGGCGTGGACATGGATTACTGGGGAACAAGTCTACTCTATGACGCAGAATAAATCCAGGGGCATTCAGAATGCCAACAATGTAATATTTTGAAATGGTGAGGTTTACGGCCAAATCCATTGCCCCCAAGAGGTTGACAAGTCATCCTAGTTTGTCCAGGACTTTCACAGTTTTAAAACTGAAAGTCTCATATCCAAGGAACTCCTTCAATGCCTGTAAATTGGGACAGCACAGTTAGATAACACCATCCCTCTGCCCTTAAACACACATATAATACTATAAAATAGTTCTTGCTGCCAATGGTCTTACTTTGAAGGGACTCAATCACAGTAATTTAATAACTGATGAACAGCTCGGACTATAGAATACCTGATGGAGTACACAAGTTACCTGAAGCAGGTGACGGGAACCTGGTGTTTCACACATCATCAGGATACATATTGAACACATTAAAGACCAGTGGCCTGTGCTCTAGGCTGGTCTCCAGAATGCATCTCTTGGGTAGAAATGGATGCTAAAGTGTTTGAAGTAGCATTTTTAGCCTAGCAGGGAACTACGCTTTATAACCAATTATATCGGCTGTCTTTGAAAAGCTCCTTGGATTCCCCCACTATTAGATAAAATAAAGATAAACTTTCATCCAGTCACTGATAAAATGATCCAAAGTTAAAGTCATCACAGAAAACCAAAATGTAGGAAGTTTAAACTGATACTCACTAAACTGTTCATGTTTTAAAAATCTTTAATTCCTGTTCTGGCAACAAAGTTATGATGGATATCGCATGTGTTGTTGTGTTCTCTTGTTTTGTTTTGAAGCAAGGTCTTGCTCTCTTGCCCAGGCTGGCACGCAGTGGTGCGACCACAGCTCATGGCAGCCTGGACTTCAATCCTTCTGCCTCAAGCCATCCTCCTGCCTCAGCCTCCCAAAGTCACACTCGTGGCCTAGATACTGCATTTGAAAGCACCCGAAGGCTCAGAATGTGGCAGCACGAGCTCTGGTTGATGGGCTGTGTCAACAAGTAACCTTCTAAAGGAGGCTTTGTGGGCACAGGACCGAGTCTTTGCACTTCAAAAACACAAAATTTCTGTTTGTGCAATTAGTCAAAGCCCTGCTTCCTTTCTTGCAAACAGTGCGAATGGTCAGTAGGCAGGGAAGTGTACAGTGTCCTTCGAGGGGTTCCCCTTCCGAAGCAGGAGATCTGGCAGAGACAGAGCAAAATTCTTATATACAGTGCTGTTCTGTGAAACTTGGGCTCCTTTTTACCTTGAAAAAATTCACTCTAGGCCCCCAGTTCCACCTTCCTTTTCTTTTGGATATGGCAGAATTGACTTTCTACAGTTGTTTTGATCATCGGAAGCTGAGACAACGGAATGTGTTTCTGTGCCATCTTGCATCCGCTTCTCTTCGGAAGCTTCCTATATATTACTCCACATCTTTTCCATGCTCTGCCCTCTGCTTCAACCTTCCAGAGGTGGTCCTGGGTATCTATCAGTGGGTCCCACAGAAGACTGTCTGCACCAAGACAAGATGGAAAGCCACCCAAAAGACATGAGTAGGTTCTTGGGTGCAATGGGTTTATCTTGTGGATCACAGACACCATTAGATTTCACAGCTGAACCTCCACTAATAACCATGGAAATTAATTAAAGCTGTAGGGGGACTTATAGAAACATAGGGCAAATCACAGCCTCCCCACCCCAGCCCCGGCCTGTTTTCTGGAGACATAACATGCGCGAGCACATGCACACGTGGGTGTACACACACACAGACACCATGCATGCATACCTGCATGAATACCCTCCCTCATTTAGGAAACTGCTGAAGTGCTGCCTTGGATAGATTACACAGCTTAGCTGAGCTGAGGCATTATTTTTCTGATAAATGATCCTTCCCTGCCCCTATTTAATTAAGTCTTTTGCATGCTGTCAAGAATGCTTACATTTTAGGCAGAAATCTTACTATGGACTAACAGGGCTGGCCCTTCAAAGACATGTAATTGGCTCTACTTATTTTATAAAATGTGAACACAGATATAGTAGGCATTGGATAGGAGTTAACAAGGCAATAGGATTTATTTTTTAATGAAGGTACGAATAACAGGTATTTTTGAAACTCTTGTTAAGGATTAAGTCATCTTTCAAGGGTAAGTAAGGTTGACTTCATCATTCAAAAAGAATGTTCATCCAAACCATGCAGTCCTACAAACCAAGAATCAGCTCTAAGATCCAATCACGGCCTGTAATTTTTTGGTGTTGGATGGAAAAAACATTCATTCAAAGGATCACCTCTCTCAAGGTGGTTTCACCAGCTAACTTTCTGCAATCAATCAACAGTCAAAATAAACAATTTCTGCAGGTGGTATCCCAAAAAAGCAAAACAGTCATTATCTAAAACCACCCTCCTCTGCAGGAGGGCATCCTGCGTGAAAATACACAAGAGTTTCCTACAAACTTTATACAGAAAAGCTCCATCTGGCGCTAACCCCGGGCAGCTTTACTAACACAGCCCATTAATATTTCCGTAGTCACATCCCTTTGCTCTTAATTAGACTGTTGATGGGTCCTGTGCTCTGCAAATGGGCCCTTCTGAGCACAGCCAAGCTGCTCACTCAAAATAAGAACATTTAATCACCAGGCTGCTCTCCTCAAGCCTACAGTAAGAGCACTTTGTCATGTGCTCACGTCAGGGCTTGTGAACAAACACAAATACAACTTTACTCTTATCTCCGTTGGCAGTGAGGGTTCCTGTCACTGTCCTCAAAGAGACAGAGATGAGGGTACCCACGTGGGCTCCCTACAAATCAGTAACTGAACTGCAATATACATCCCGCTCCACACGGCTCATTTGCATTCACCAGTTAACTGGAAGAGATCGCAGGGAGGAGAGAGAAGGATGCCGTCAGTGACGTCAAATTTCCCCTCATGTCTTATTAAATAAAGTATCTTTCATGAACTTCCATACCTGAGGTGCTTAATGGTAGTATATTCTTAAACATCTATTATTTATTTATTTTTGTGACAGAGAATTGCTCATTGAGTCCTATGTGCTTGGCATGTATGAATGCCTCTCCAATAACTCTTAAGATATGTAGGATTTTGTTTGTTTGAGACAAGGACTTGCTCTGTCACCTAGGCTGGAGTGCAGTGGCACAATCAAGGCTCCCTGCAGCCTAGACCCCCTCAGGCTCAAGTGATCCTCCCACCTCAGCCTCCCAAGTAGCTGGGACCACAGGTGTGCACCACCACACCCAGGTAATTTTTAAATTTTTCTGTAGAGATGGGGTTCCACTATATGGCCCAGGCTGGTCTTGAACTCGTGGACTCAAGCAATCCTCTCTCTCATCCTCCCAGAATGTTGGGATGGGATTGCAGGCATGAGCCGCCATGCCCAGCCTTCTTTTTTTTTTTTTTTCTTTTTTTTCTTTTCTTTTTTTTTTTTTTTTTGAGACACAGTCTTCTCTGTTGCCCAGGCTGGAGTGCAGAGGTACAATCCCAGCTGACGGCAACCTTCGCCTCTC